TGGCTGTGTCTCAATCAGGCCCCCACAATGCTGCTCTGAAATAGAGTCAAACCCGGAAGTTAAATAAATTGCAGTTCCACCCTCATCCACTAGGGGCTGGTGTCAGAAACGGCAAATCCTCTTTGACTCCCATGTTAAAAATACCAATTTCACAGCAGAAATAAACATGTTTACAGCCTGGTACCAAAACATGTTTTTTGTTTAAATGATCTAGTTTACACTCATGACAACTCTGAGAGGGGTGATTTTTTTCCTCATTCTTCTGTTTAAGTGTATTAAAAGCCTAAAATTCTGTATAATTAATGAGCATCAGACCCACGTGACCACAGAGCTAGCTCCGTGGAAAGGCTTCAGTAGAGCCTCGGTCTGGCTTAGAAACTGCTCCGGGATTTTGAGTCTCTGTGTTTGTGTATTTTTGTTTGGATATTATTTGTGCAATTGTTGGACAAAATGACTTGCTGTGTCATTAATTGCACTAATAGAGCGTCCAAGGAGTCTCCACTTCATTTTTTTTCGGTAAGTAAAATTATATTTATGTATTTTAGGTCACTGCGGAGCTGAGCTTAGATTTTAACATGTACTGTTTAACCATGAAATTTAAATGTAATAGGCTAAAACCCAGTGCATTTAACATAATGCTGCACTTTAGAAAATGGGTTGAAATATGACATGTTGGTGGAGCTGGGTTCCGACTATCGGCTTGTGGAGCTCTCGGGAGACCGATGTTTTCCACCCTTATCCCCTCCCCGCAGCTCGGTCCATCTCTGTCTGATCGCGGCTTCTGTTAGCTGCGCGGGCTGATGGCTGGTTCTTATGGCAAGCCAGAACCGCCAAAATACGCCACTTCTCCCCGCAGCTCGGCGCATCTCTGTCTGATCGCGGCTTCTGTGTGCTGCGTGGGCTGACGGCTTGTGGAGCTCTAGGATGGAAACCTTTCCACCCGGTTCTCCCCAGCGGCAGCTCTGCGCATCTCAGATCGCAGCGGCGCTTGTCTGCTGTGCGGCTGCCGGCTTGTGGAAGTCTCGGAGACCTCTGTGTTCCACCCGGTTTTACCCAGCGGTCAGCCCGGCGTATCTCTGACTCAGAAGCTCTGGTGTTGTGCACAGTCAACTCCGGTTATAGCTAGGTTGCTACCTCCGTTAGCTTAGCTCCCACCTCCACATTAGCTTTGGGTTAGCTTCAGGTTAGCTTGTAGCTAGTTCGACCGGGTGTCGTCAGTTGATCCCAGCCTTACAGCCCCACCCTCAGCTCCACCTCTCTTCCCTTTTATGGAATTGTCTGGGCTTGACGTAAGCTGTGACACGTACGGTCAAAATGGTGGTGGTGGCCACCTCCCATTTTAGCAGAAAAACTTGTTATTGGAGGCTATGGAAACCCATTGTCCATATATTTATGTCGATGGTCTCAATTCAGGGTCTGCATCCTTTGTCAGCCGGATTCGTCGGCCGGTTACGTCACAGCGCCGCGACCAGGCCTGTCCCAATTCGAAGACTCCTTCAAATGCGGTCAACGAATTCGGCTTTCTTTTCGCCTGTATGAAGGATGGGTCCGGTGTATCCTTCAATGGTTTACATTTCCCAAGATGCCTTGCGGGCCAGACGGTAGAACTTTTAAAAACAATGGCGGACAGTGAAGCGGGAGCTGTTGGAAAGGATTGCGCATATAAATGCCAGTATAAACTTGAACACTGTTAGGTTAGGGACTTTTTGTGATACATGAACGTTATTTTAGTTAGAAATGTTACAGTAAAAGTGCTTGTATTGCAGTCTCGGCTCGTATGTTTGGCCACTCGGTGTCGCACTTCTCCCGCTACGTTTTCCCCCTGATTTTAATAGAAGTTTGTATTTTAGGGACAAAAGACAAAACCAGGGAGTTTAGGGCGGAGATGGACCACATGTTCACCGGAGCTAAGTATTCGGCGGTTGTGGCAATGGAGGTACAAGAACAACATCTCATCTTTTAAAAACTTTCATTTGAGTTTAGTTTATTTCTGTGAAAACATGACAGGAATAAACCGTTGTCCTCTTCTATCTTTTCTCTTCCTGTTTCTTTTCTTACATGTTAGGACTATTCTGGAGAAAATGGCCATCCAGGGAAAGGTGACCCCATCCAGGCAAAAAGAAAAAGAAAAGGGATAATTTAAAGAAAAAATATAAAGTATGTAGATGTGTGTGGAAAAATATAACATGTATACATGCTAAATCTAAAAAGGTTGAACAGGCTTGTAGTTATTTGTGTAAACTGATTTTTTTTTATCTAGGATTGCAAGTATCCAGGGTCAGGAGAGGGGGGTTAGTGGGAAGCCCGCTGCTGCTACTTGGCCCTGGTTTGACCTCATGGATGGTAGGACAGAGACCCTCAACCAGTCCGCCTGTCCTAATTGCCTCTATCCGTGAGGACACTCCAGGGCCAAGTACAGCAGTGGAGGAAAGGGAGGAGAGTGAGGATGAAGATGCTCAGCCAGGAGGAAGTCAGCCAGGTGGAAGAAAAAGGAGAAGGGACAGCGATGACCAGCTTCCGGAGCTGATCAGGGAGGACATGAGGCTGCAGAGGGAGGCAGAGCAGCAGAGGGCACAGGAGAGAAGGGAGAATTTTCGGCCCCGTGTGAGTTTGAGTTTGACACCCCTGCTCTACAGGTAATTGATGGTTCCATGTAATGTGCTCTTTCTGCTAACAGTTATTTGTTATTTAATGATATCCATATTTTTTAATTATGATTTTTTTATTTAAGCCATTTTCACATTTTTTTCTTCTTACTTGAGTAACTCTTTTGGTGGGGAGCTTTTTCAGTTGAGTAAGTATAAAATATTTGAAGTTGTAGTTTATATTTGAGTATAGGTTTTGAATTTAATACGGAGTCTGTTTACAACCTGTAAAAAGTTGCTAAAACTATCCATTAAACTAGCTATAGCTGATAGGTAAAGCCTACTTAATAGAAATTACTTTACCTGTTCATTGTTGTGTCTCAGCCTGAGCAAAATGCCTTCGCGGGCGATACGTGTCTTCTAACTCCTCCAGAACCAAGGAAATTGTTAAAAAGCTCAACAAAACTTCCAGCTCCATCATTTGAAGTTCCTTCTCCCTTCTGCTCAGCGGTTCCACGGTTGCTAGGCAACAGAAACGTTCGCCGAGGGAGAGGCGGGAATTCATGAAGGCTAGGCCTGTCCAAATTCACAGCTGTTAACATCCGGTCTACTCGGCTGACGGAGGACCCAGCCCACGTCGGGCGAGTAGGCTGGGTCCTTCGATGGATGCAGACCCTGAATTGAGACACGGCCTCTGTGTTTGGCTTCTAATTCCATTTTTGGTTCTTTTTTAAAACACAGGAAAGGTTTCTCTTTACCTTGCTGACAGTTTCGTTTGCATATGCAAACATCCTCAGAGCTGACGCTGAAGACGACGCATCAACTCTGAGGATGTTTGCAGACTCAAACTAAACTGTCAACAAGGTAAGAGAAACTTTTCCTGTGTTTTAAAAAAGAACCAAAAAAGCATAAACCCCCTCCCACATGCAAAAGAGAGCAGCAGCTCTACTCTGAGCCCCTCCCAACATTTTGGAGCTTCTCAGCTTATAGCAGCCTGAGAAAGGGGGTGGGTGGGTGTGGCCAGCAACAGCTTTTATTCTTAAAGTGACAGAACCCTGAAACGGCTCATTCTAGAAGGTACTGTCAAGAATAAAACTGCTAACGTGGCTTTATATGAGAGGGATTTGTGCACAGAGCGTCATCAACATTTTTGTATGGATCATAGATCTATCATGAATTAAAGAAGTCCTTCACTGATAAACCATTTTAACTTATTGTTTTTGAAAGCTAACCAATACAACCAACAAGGTGGGCCACCAAGTTATGGACAGCCTGGCCATTACAATAATTACAAAATACAGCAGAGAACGTCCCGACTAGTAGAAGCTAACCATTAGCATTAGCAACTCCACCACACAGCACAACTCCTTCAGACTTGTGTTATTTGTAGAGATAAAACATCAGTGACGCAGAGCAAAATTAGTCGATGGTATAGTCTTGTTGCTGTTAGTCAATCAGAGGTGAGATGCCCAAATATCAGGAAATAAGACTCCACATCCTGTCTCTGATGCTCCTCTGGCTGAATTCTCCATGCTGAAACAGATGCACTGGAGCTCCCATTTTGTTTCTGCTGCTGTCCGTCTAGATTTCTAGGCTACCAGAATATATGTTTGTGTTTTTCAGTCATAAATTACTAATGATCTCTCTTTTCCAATGGAACGGAACGGCTGGTGGATGGAAAGATTTTGGCTTTTTAAACTCAGATTTGGACGATCTTTCAAGCTTTCATCTAACATGTCAACCAAGTGATTTCTCGTGCTATGTGTGAATCCATGCAACACTGAGAAACGAAATTCAAAAGCATGCTGTGTTAAATTGTCACAAATTCAGCTGTGAGACGGTTAATTCAATTTTAGAGCATCCCGTCTGTGCAGCCTGTGTGTAGGGGCTAGGTTGTTGGTGAAAAAGAGACGTTTGTTCGATTACTTCCTCTAGCTCACCGAATCAAAAGTCTCTGGGTTCTGAGCACAGATGGATCCAGACTTCTGAATGAGTTTATTGTACCTGCTGGCTCTGCTGCTGCAGCAGCTCACCCTTTCTGCAAAAACCACAGCACAGTAGATGCCACCTGCCACCACAGAAAACAGCCTCCTCATCAACATTACTAATTTATAAACATGTAAAGAATGTTTATTGTGTTACTCAGGCCTGATGTGTATTAAATGTGTGCACATGATCCAGCTCCCACCCAGGCCTAAAGTGATTGAGCCTTTTTCCATCCCAGCTGATCTGCGGTTGGAAACACCTGCAGCACGATCGCAGCTCGCGAACTTCTGATTCAGGATCTGCTGGGCGGTGTGTGTGAAGGGAACAGACCCGCCATTTCCCCTCCTCGGTGGTCTTTTTTTCTTTCTTTAAAGCCGAACAGCAGCGGTAGGGGGAGGAGGAGGAGGTGGGGAGGAAGAAGAAGAGAAGGAGGAGGAACAGCGACGACGACTTGCGGAGCGGCGGAGGCAGGGATCCGGTGTGCCACATCGGGATGAGAGCGAGACAGAGACCCGGGTCGGATGAGTCAACGAACGGATTTCACCATTCATTTCCTTGAATTCTGAATGAGCCTGGACGAAGTTACGGGGTGAAATAAGAAAAAAATAATCAGATAATTTTAGCTAGTTGTCAGATTCCCGTTCCCTTTATATTCCGCCCTCCTCTGGTCCGTGTCTGCTATAGCCCAGTTTGGATTTGCTCTTCCGCCACCGAGGGAGGTGGGAAAAGAAGGGCTCGGAGAGGCTGCGGAGGATTCGGACTCGGACTGTAAATTTTTCTACCTTTTTGTCACATTGTCAGATAAAAGAATTCTAGCCTGTTATTTCTGAAGCCCTTTGTCGTGTAGTGTGAAGCGAAGATGTCGGGACAGAGCATTACGGACAGGATAACGGCAGCCCAGCACAGTGTAACGGGGTCCGCCGTGTCGAAAACAGTATGCAAGGCCACCACGCACGAAATAATGGGCCCGAAAAAGAAGCACTTGGATTGTGAGTATATCTCAACACTGTTCGAGTTTAAAACTTACAAATTTCACCTGGAATTTAACGTTTTTTTTATTATGGCGTTGGCGGAGCTAGTAGGCCTCAGAGCCTTAGCAACGTTAGCATTAGCAACATTCTACATATCGCTAATGTCAGGGAGATTAAACAGTTTCCACTGCTACCACGTTCCTTGTTGACATATTGACTCATTCATACTTTAATTATTCTAAGCTGGGATACATTTTACACGTATAATTTGTGGGGTTAATGTTCAAACTATCAATATCCATAAATAAGAGCGTTCACAGGCCATAAAGGCACATCTCCATATGTAGTGGAGTGAGTAACGTGAAACCTGCTGTTTTTTATGCTTTTGAAACAGAGACGACACAATAAGGGCAAAGATTACAGCTGAAGTCAGCGCAGAGATTCCTTCCCTTCAGATTTTCTGAAAAGCAGAACCATTTTCTGCACGAGTTGTAAGGTTAAGATCACGAATTCTTCCGTTTTAAAGAGTCACATCCTGTTGGTGCCTGCTTCTTCTGCCATTCATTCAGCATTCACCCAATAACAGCGATAAAAGTGGTCATGTGAAGGCCATAGACATGATGATAAAAGTTCAGTCAGTGACCCTGTGTGCATTGTGTAATCTGCCAACTCATCACACTGCTTTGTGAGTTGGAACACCTGAAAGTGCTTATCTAAACTGGTTATGATGGTAATTTTGTTGTTTATGTTGGCTTTGTGTCAAAAGTTGCAGGGTTCACACGAGTTGTGCAGCTGAGCTGAGGTGAGACCCCTGTGGTGAGATGAGTAAAAGTTGGCAGGGTGACACTGTTGGCCAGAGGCAGTGAGACAGACACACACAGCATAGTTTCCCTTTGTTTTGTGTTGACACATTAGATAAAGTTAGCAGCCAGGATTACATTTAAACCGATTTTTATTTTGTCCTTGCTATTGATTTTTAGGGAAAATACATTTATATTGTAATTGGAAATGATTTGTGCTGTTGAGTGCTTTTATCGAGTTGATGTCAATGATGTGAAACCCCAAAATCTAATGTAGGGATTAGTTTGCGTTGACGTTTACTATATTGTGTTGTGCAGCTGTATGATGGTAAAGAAGTGGTATTTGAGGCTGATGTTTTGATTTGACACATAAGGAGATGAAGTGTCTAAGCCATCAGTGGTGGTTAGTCATTTTAGTGTTTTAGATTTAAATATACCGCTTTTCTGCTCAACAAGTATTCCTAAAAATGAAATAGTATTTCAATAGTAAGTATTGATTATTCTTATATAATCATCATACATTAAAAGAGAAATGTGATCTATCTTATCTACAGTGTGTGTGTGTGTGTGTGTGTGTGTTGCCTCCATTTTATCCCTTAATTAAAAAATGTGCATAGTTACGAAGCTTTCAAACTAAAGTAATCAACAATTTTATCTTATTTAACATGTACGTCAGAAAACTGATCTCTCAAATGAAGTTTGTTCCACTCCAGTACAGTAGGTGGCGACATGCACCCTTTTGTGTCAGCATTCTTCCAGTTAGCATATACCAGGTGTATTCAATTCCTGGCCTGGAGGGCCGGTATCCAGCACGTTTCAGGGGTTTCTCTGCTCCAACATACTTGATTCAGTGGTTGTCGCCTGTGCAGCAGCTCATCAGGCTCTGCTGAGGCCTGTTAATTAGCTGCTGATTGAAATCAGGTGTGCTGAAACAGTTAAAACTAAAACATGGATACTGGCCCTTCAGGACTTTAATTGAATACTCCTGGCATATAGCAACACAACTGGTAAACAAATGCTGGCGGGAGTGAAGCAGAGGAAGTTAAAACAGGATATGCACCATAGCTGAAGGAATGGTCAACAGCAATGCTGCAGCACAGCTTGTTTGGTAATCACTGTACTGTTTGATATTGTTCCGCGTGTTACTTTGTGGCGATGATATTACCAGAAGATCACTTGCACAGTCTCGTCGCTTCTGGGAGTCAGTGGTATGAAAATGAGGGACAAAAAGTCTTTTAAATACTCAAAACACAACATAAACATAATGGTAAATGCACTACCTTGGACCAGATACATCACAGGGTACCACAGAGCAGCGCTACGCCCTCTGTAGTCCTGGCGGGGAATTGCTTTGCAATGCTCCCCAGGAGACGGAGAAGTCGGAGAGTAAAACGTCCGTCTGCGCGTCTCCCTGGTGGAGCTGACGGAGAAGTATAAGTTAGGCTTAAGCTGCTCACACACAGATGCAGGTGGTTTCCTATCGCATTATTCGGATCCACTATTATTCAGAACATTTTCATTTCATATTTTTGCTTCTGTGTAAATTATTTCACAAAATTACTGAACTATTACACTAGTAGTCCATAATACAGAGTCTTCTAAATTATAAGAAATATTTTTAGTTCCTGAGCTGATCGATCTTGGAAATAAATCAGTCACATAACCGAGACTTGGTATTAACAACAACACATTATATTTATTTATATATTCTAGTGGGTTAGTTCCATTTGACATCATTAATGAGGATGGTTGTGTTTATTTAGACGGCTGATTACAACACGCCGATGCTGTCATATCTCTCCCCATATTGTTGCTCTTTACCCCCCTCCTCCTAGCGCTTCTCCTCTCCATCATTCTCCTCTTTGGACAGTTCAGCCAGCCATGCTAACGGCTGCTGCCTCTCTGGAAGGTTCTCCTGTCCTACTAAGAGCCTTTTGAACAAGTCAAATATAGGACAGAAAGGGAGGCCCACATACTCCGTCAGTCTGATCATCGCTGTGAATGGCAGGGTCGTCAGCCCGACAGGGAGCTAGCTTGGCTCGTGCACCGTGCGGACGTGTTGAATGTGTGAGCAGGTGAAGTGGGACAGAATACAAGTGGTTAACATCTTAATGCAGCTTAATCCATTAACAATTGTAATGAGCAAGTTGGGCTTCAGATGCAGAAAAACCTGATTGCTTTGACACAGACGCATAATTTCCTGTTTGTTATGCTAATCATATTTTATGCAGAAAACATTTGTAATTAAACTGTCGTCCCACTTCTGGAGGATTTTAAAAATAGTTATTGTTTTGGTAACATCATCAGCAACTCTGCGCAGGACTTTCACTCTAGCTTTTGGTGCTTTTAACATGTTATTGGTTTGATTTTTCAGGTCTTATAAATACATTAAATAGTTGACTTCCAAACTCTTGTATGCAGGGTATCTGCAGGTCCTTAAAAAGTCTTAAAAAGTCTTAAATTAGCTTTTCCAAATTTAAGGCCTTAAAAATCCTTAAAAATGACAAATAATCCTTAAATAGTTTCCAAAGGTCTTAAATTTTCAAAGACCCAATAAAGATTATTTTATTTCTATGAAATTTTCATGAATTTCTAGTTAGTCTTCAGCATTTTTTGCGTATGATATTTGCGTAAGCAGAACCATATACATTCAGTTGCTTGTGAAAGGGGCTATTTTTAGATGAGCACATTAGCTGGTTAAACTAGTGGGAGCTTGCGCCGTGGGGAAGTGCAAGTTTGATGGTAACTGGATGGCTAATCCCATGTTCGCGACGCGGTTAGCACCAGTTCCAGTCAATAGCTGGAAAATAAAGCTTAAATTTAATTATAAAAATAGCTTAAATTTGGTCTAAGTGGCCTTAAAAAAGGTCTTAAAAAGTCTTAAATTTGGCTCCCTTAAACCTGCAGATACCCTGTGTATGTTTTTCTCCATATGAGCTTTTTTTGTTTTGTTTTGTGCAATAATTATAATTATTGAATAATTTGTTGTAAGATCTGATCCACTGCACCAACGAGATGAACGTGAACATTCCCCAACTGGCCGACTCTCTGTTTGAAAGGACCACCAACACCAGCTGGGTGGTTGTGTTCAAATCTCTCATCACTACACACCACCTCATGGTCTACGGCAATGAGGTGAGACGCTTCAGCAGATCTTAATCACATCATTGCCCCTCTAACACCCCCGATGTCAACGTCCTCAACCTTTCTTTTTCTTCTCTTGCAGCGTTTTATCCAGTACTTGGCTTCAAGGAATACACTTTTCAACCTCAGTAATTTTTTGGACAAAAGTGGGTTACAAGGTAAAGTTCTGATTGTGGTTGTCTTAATTGTTTGGACACAAACCGATCATGAAAAGTGAATTAGTTGTTTTTCTCCTGCTGTTTGACGCTGCAGGCTATGACATGTCGACATTTATCAGGAGGTACAGTCGATACCTGAACGAGAAAGCAGTCTCTTACAGACAGGTTGCCTTTGACTTCACAAAAGTTAAACGCGGGTGAGTTTTGACAATCACATTTGAATGACTAAAGGCTTGACATGTTCTCTTGCTGCCTGCTTTCTTTATGACTTATTGACTTTACAGTAAATTGTCATGTCTTGAATTTTTCTAAACCAAAAATGTTTCCTCGGGTAATGAGAATTAGAACTACTGGGCTGTAAATGTTAAAATAACTCTACGACTCCTTAAATATTGCTATTTCCAATATTGGATACGTTAAATAAGTTATGGAGCTGTAACCGGATTACAGGATACAATAAGATAATTAAAAGAAAAAATAAACAAATGGGCCAATAATTAGGTTCGGGGAGAATTGGAGGTTGTTTAAGAATGACTGGAGTCACGGGTATAGCATGAAACGGTTTATATACTAAATTTTAATAATAATGGGAAATATAACACATAAAGATAACACACAAAAACAGATGAAAACAATCGACAATAGTAAAATGCTCGGTATGAGATTTGATCATATGAGTCACAAGTCAGCCGGCGTCAAGTCAAATCCCCACGCTTGGGGTGAAAGTCAGAGTCCGGTGGTGCGATTTTTTCCTACCGCACCGTTGAGATTGTTCACAGAAGAGAGCAGTCTGCTCTTCAGTTACTTGAGATGTCCTGGTTCGTTCAGTGGTTAAGGCTCGCCATCTCCCTCGTCAGGAAGAAATCCAGTTCTCGTTCCAAGTGAGTGATCATAGGAGTCGGGATCAAACCCAAGGAAAAAAAAAACCCAGCCAACGCGCTCCAACGGTTCCCTCCTACAGAGGATTGGTTCACTCTGTCGTCTCCACACAAATCGCGTTGGTTCCAAGTTCCTAGCTCTTATTAGAAGGAGTCAAGTCCGCCTCTCCCTCTATCTATGCGGCACCCAAATCAGGGTTCTTCACGGCCTCGACCGTTGTTTTTTTTTCTCTCTCTCTCTCTCTCTAACCGCTCAGTCTTTGCTTTCTGTATCTGCGTGCTGCACAGCCGTTTGTCTCTCCTCTCGCTCAGCTGCGTCGCACGGTTTTATTTCGCGGAGGCGGGACTTATTTCTCTCAGCCAATGAAATTTCAGATTCCCACCTGGACCAATAGTATACAGCTTTCCTCTTCTGTTTCTGTTAGTGATGTTCAAGATTCTTGTTTTAACCGATGTTTAATATTAAACTCGTTATTTTAGTTATTCACCCTTCCAATAATTCATTATGAAATTATCTATTAGTTAATTAGATATCTATTAATTAGTATTGTTAATTTCCTTAATTTATATTTTATATTTTATCTAAATTGAGGATGGATCATATTAGTAAGCCAATTAGTTAATACCTCATTAAGGTTCTAGCTTATGGGTTACATCCTCCCCCATTAAATATCATGCACGTCCCTGTGCATTGTTTCTACGGGGTACACAACTTCTTGAGTAAGAGAGTCAATAAAAGCTTTATTAAGTCCTTGGAAAAGGGACCTAACTACGGTCACTAGTGGATTGCCCAATTGAGAGTAAGTTAGTCTTTGAGTAGGCTGACTACTTCGTTCAGATCTCCTGACATACATCTCTGGTTGCACAGTATCATGCTCATCCGTTTCGGTTTGATTCTCAACTGAGACAGGACGAAGTGAGCTCTCTGTTTCCGACAGAGCTGATGAGCTATTCTCTAAGACTTTGGTCTTTTCAGATGTATGTGTCTGATCGTGTATGATGGGTTCAAAACTTACATCACGTTGCTGCGACTTTAGGACACCATCCAATTGAGGTAGGTTTGTGTTAGTTTCATCCCCCGTTTCTACGTCGGGTAAGTATACTTCGTTTTTTTTCGTTTTTTCAGGTAAGTATGTTGCTGCTTCTTTCACTCTTTCAGGTAAGAATGTTTCGGTGTTGATGCCTTTGTCAAGTAAGGACAATTCAGCATTTTCATTACCAGCTAAGGTTGGTTCCTTGCGATCCCCTGTGTGTAAGGATAGTGTGTTTTGTTGTTGAATATTATTTACCGGTCCTGAATCTGCTATGAGTTCCCTATTTGGCAAGGTGACCGCTATTTGATAGGATGGTCGGTTTAGCACTTGTGGAAGATCAGAGTAATAAAACTCATCTACCTCTTCGTCAAGTGGCTCATCTGGGTCAGGTTCTAAGGCTGAACTCTGTCTTGTATGAGGTCTGCTAGGTTTCGTAACGCGTTCTGTTTCATTTTCTAATGAAGAGAGAAAACCACAAGGCAGTAAAAGATCTCTGTGGAGTGTTCTGTTGGGTCCTTCTCCGTTCTCTGGTTTTACAGTGTATACTGGCAAGTTTTCCATCTGTTTGAGAACTATATACACTGTTTGCTCCCATTTGTCTGCTAATTTATGCTTTTCTCTTAAGCGAAGATTTCGGACTAAAACACGATCTCCCACACCTAGTGTGGACTCACGAATGTTTCTGTCGAACCGTTCTTTGTTCTTCCTCGCTGTTTTTTGAGAGTTTTTTATGACAATGTCATAACTCTGTTCCAGATGACTCTTCAGTTCTTTAACATACTGAGAATGAGTTATAGAGGGCTTGTTCAAATGCGGTAACCCAAAGGCAATATCTATAGGCAACCGAGGCTGCCTACCGAACATTAGCTCGTAGGGAGAGTATCCCGTCACGTCATTTTTTGTACAATTGTACGAGTGAGTAAGTGGTTTTACAAAATCGCGCCAGTGATGTTTCTCAGTGGCTTGTAAAGTTCCCAACATGCTGAGTAATGTACGATTGTACCGTTCAACGGGGTTGCCACGAGGGTGATAAGGGCTCGTTCTGACTTTACGGATACCAAGTAAAGAACAAAGTTCCTTGATTGTACGTGATTCGAAATCCCGTCCCTGATCACTATGAAGACGCTCAGGAAACCCGTAGTGGACTAAAAAATGTTCCCACAGGTTCTTCGCGACGGTGGTGGCTTTCTGATCTTTGGTTGGGATGGACACTGCATACTTTGTAAAATGGTCTGTAATCACTAAGACATCTTTAGTGTTCTTACTGTCTGGTTCTATGGAGAGAAAATCCATGCAAACTAACTCCATAGGTCTGGTGGTGGTAATACTCACCATTGGAGCAGCTTTGTCAGGGAGGGCCTTCCGACGGATACATCTTTCGCAAGTTTTAACTTTGATTTCGATATCACTAGCCATTCTTGGCCAGTAAAAACGGGACCGAATGAGATCTGTCGTACGTTCAACCCCAAGATGCCCCATATCATCATGTAGGCTTTGCATGACTGTTGAACGTAATGAATCAGGCAAGACTAACTGCAATGATGTCTCTGGTCCTAATTGGCGTCTCCGGTACAGTAAATCATTTTGAAACTCAAACCGTTTCCACTCTCTCAAAAGGTTAAGAACCACCGGGGGTTCTGCAATAGTATCAGTTGGCGGTTTATTGTCAGTCATAAGCAGCTGAATGACTCGGCCAATGGTTGGATCTTTCCTCTGCAAGGAGACAAGGTCAGCATGGTTATACTTGGGCACAGCAAAGAAACTGTCACTATTGTCTTCCAACTGGAATAGGTCTGGAATGGCCGCTGCAGACATGGCAAGTGACTGAACTAAACCACAAGGAGAATCAGTCTCATCCAAGACCATGTGCTTTTGGCATGTTGCCTTCACTGCTTCGGCTTGAAGTTGAAGCTCGACTTCTTTGACAGAGGATAAAAGATGAGATCGGAACTCATCTAGTCGTTGGCATTCCTCAGTGAATTTTGAGTTGTCTTCAGGTTTATCATGCAGCCTCCTAGACAGGCCATCCGCGTCAACGTTCTGTGTACCTGCACGGTATCTGATGTCAAAATTATAGGTGGACAACGCAGCTAGCCAACGATAGCTCGTTGCATCGAGTTTTGCCGTTGTTAAGAGGTAAGTTAACGGATTATTATCAGTAATGACAGTGAATGTGTTCCCATACAAATAGTCATGAAACTTATCTGTTATGGCCCACTTTAAGGCTAGAAACTCCAACTTGTGCGCAGGGTACCTAGTTTCACTAGAGCTTAAACCGCGACTTGCATAAGCGATTACCTGTGTGACACCGTTTTGCACTTGGTATAGCGCTGCACCGAGTCCGGTCGTACTAGCATCTGTGTGTACTAGATATGGGAGTTTTGCGTCAGCGTAGCCAAGAACTGGCGAAGTGGTAAGTTTTTCAATAATAGTTTGAAAGGACTTCTCACAGTCTTGGCTCCAACGATTCCCAAAGGGTTCTTTGGAGTTCAAGTACTTTGATCTACATGGTGGTGTTTTAAAGTTTTTCCGTTTGGGTGGATAACCAGCCGTGAGAGATGTTAGTGGCTTGACAATATTTGAGTAATCTTTAACGAAGCGTCGGTAATAACCGGTAAATCCTAAGAAAGATTGGAGTTCCTTCAAAGTCTGAGGCTTCGGCCATGTTTTGAGTGCTTCCACCTTATCTGGATCGGTTTTTATGCCATCTCGAGATACTATATGTCCAAGATAACGCACAGATGTCTGGAAAAAACGACACTTATCTGGTGATAGCTTGAGTCCGTATTCTCTAAGCCGTTCAAGAACGTGAGAAAGTCTGGTTTCGTGTTCTTCCAAGGAGTTGGAAAAGACGATCAAGTCGTCTAGGAAAACTAACACTTCCTTCAGATTAATGTCCTTCATACACTTTTCCATAACCCGTTGGAAAGTGCTTGGAGCATTTGTTATTCCTTGTGGCATACGGTTAAATTCATAAAACCCAAACGGGCAAACAAAAGCAGTTTTAGGTTTATCCTTTTCACACATCTCTATTTGATAGTAACCTGACTTGAGGTCCATCACAGAAAACCACTGTGATCCAGCGAGAGCAGAAAAGGACTCCTCCAAGTTAGGCAGGGCATATGCGTCGCGAATGGTTTGCAGATTAAGCTTTCTATAGTCTATACATAGACGTACCTCACCATTCTTTTTCCGAACTACCACTATTGGTGAGGCAAATGGAGACTCCGACTCTCTTATTATACCGGTTTCCAAGAGGGCTTCCAAATGTTTTCTCACGGCTTC